GTCACTGTTGTCACTGTTGTTACCGTGGTCACTGCTGTCACTGTAGTCACCATTGTCACCGTTGTCACTGTTGTCACCGTTGTCACTGTTGTCACCATTGTCATCGTTGTGACTGTTCTCATCGTTGTCACCGTTGTCACTGTTGTCACCTTTCTCACCGTTGTCACTTTTGTCACTGTTGTCATCGTTCTCACTATTGTCATCGTTGTCACTGTTGTCACCGTTCTCACTGTTGTCACCGTTTTCACTGTTGTCACCGTTGTCATCGTTGTCACTCTTGTCATCGTTGTCACTGTTGTCACCATTGTCACCGTTGTCACCGTTGTCACCGTTGTCATCGTTGTCACTGTTGTCACCGTTGTCACTGTTGTCACCGTTGTCACCGTTGTCACTGTTGTCACCGTTGTCATCGTTGTCACCGTTGTCATCGTTGTCACCGTTGTCACCGTTGTCGCTGTTGTCACCGTTGTCACTGTTGTCACAGTTCTCATCGTTGTCACTGTTGTCATCGTTGTCACTGTTGTCACCGTTGTCACCGTTGTCACTGTTGTCACTGTTGTCACTGTTGTCACCGTTGTCATCGTTGTCATCGTTGTCACCGTTGTCACCGTTGTCACCGTTGTCACTGTTGTCACCGTTGTCATCGTTGTCACTGTTGTCATCGTTGTCACTGTTGTCACCGTTGTCACTGTTGTCATCGTTGTCACTGTTGTCACCGTTGTCACTGTTGTCACTGTTGTCATCATTGTCACTGTTGTCACCGTTCTCACTGTTGTCACCTTTGTCACCGTTGTCATTTTTGTCACCGTTGTCATCGTTGTCACTGTTGTCATAGTTGTCACCGTTGTCACCGTTGTCATCGTTGTCACTGTTGTCATCATTGTCACTGCTGTCACCGTTGTCATCGTTGTCACTGTTGTCATCATTGTCACTGTTGTCACCGTTTCCAGTGTTGTCACCGTTGTCATCGTTGTCACTGTTGTCATCATTGTCACTGTTGTCACCGTTGTCACCGTTGTCACGGTTGTCACCGTTGTCACGGTAGTCACCGTTGTCATCGTTGTCACTGTTGTCACCGTTGTCACCGTTGTCACTGTTATCATTGTTGTCATCGTTGTCATCGTTGTCATTGTTGTCATCGTTGTCACTGTTGTCACCATTGTCACCGTTGTCACTGTTGTCACCGTTGTCACTGTTGTCACCGTTGTCATCGTTGTCACTGTTGTCATCTTTGTCACTGTTGTCACCTTTGTCATCGTTGTCACTGTTGTCACCGTTGTCATCGTTGTCACTGTTGTCATCGTTGTCACTGTTGTCATCGTTGTCACTGTTGTAATCATTGTCACTGTTGTCACCGTTGTCACTGTTATCATCATTGTCATCGTTGTCACTTTTGTCATCGTTGTCACTGTTGTCACTGCTGTCACCGTTGTCACTGTTGTCACCGTTGTCAGCGTTGTCACCGTTGTCAGCGTTGTCACCGTTGTCATCGTTGTCACTGTTGTCATCGTTGTCACTGTTGTCACCGTTGTCACCGTTGTCGTAATTGTTACTGTTGTCACTGTTGTCACCAGATGTCACCATTGTCACTCTTGTCAACATTGTCACCGTTGCCACTGTTGTCACCGTTTTCACTGTTGTCACTGTTGTCACTGTTGTCACCGTTGTCACCGTGTCACTGTTTTCAACGTTGTCACCGTTGTCGCCATTGTCACTGTTGTTACCGTTGTCACCGTTGTTCCGTTGTCACCGTTGTCACGGTTGTCATTGTTATCACTTTTGTCATTCTTTTTACCGTTGTCACTGTTGTCCCCGTGGTCACTGTTTTCACTGTTGTCACCGTTGTCACCCTCTTCACTGTTGTCACCGTTGTCACGGTTCTCATTGTTGTCATTGTTGTCACCGTTGTGACCGTTCTTGTTGTTGTTACTGTTGTCGCGGTTGTCACTGTTGTCATCGTTGTCACTGTTGTCACTGTTGTCATCGTTGTCACTGTTGTCACTGTTGTCATCGTTGTCACTGTTGTCACTGTTGTCACCGTTGTCATCGTTGTCACTGTTGTGATCGTTTTCACTGTTGTCACCTTTGTCATCGTTCTCACTGTTGTCACCGTTGTCGTCGTTGCCACTGTTGTCATCGTTGTCACTGTTGTCACCGTTGTCACTTTTCTCACCGTTGTAACCGTTGTCACCGTTGTCACGGTTGTCATTGTTATCACTTTTGTCACTCTATTTACCGTTGTCACTGTTGTCACCGTTGTCACTGTTGTCACCGTGGTCACTGTTTTCACTGTTGTCACCGTTGTCACCCTCTTCACTGTTGTCACTGTTGTCACGGTTGTCACTGTTGTCATTGTTGTCACCGTTGTGACCGTTGTCGTTGTTCTTACTGTTCTCACCGTTGTCACCGTTGTAACCGTCGTCACTGTTGTCACCGTGGTCACTGTTGTCACCGTTGTCACTGTTGTCACTGTTGTTACCGTGGTCACTGTTATCACTGTAGTCACCATTGTCACCGTTGTCACTGTTGTCACCGTTGTCACTGTTGTCACCATTGTCATCGTTGTGACTGTTCTCATCGTTGTCACCGTTGTCACTGTTGTCACCTTTCTCACCGTTGTCACTTTTGTCACTGTTGTCATCGTTCTCACTATTGTCATCGTTGTCACTGTTGTCACCGTTCTCACTGTTGTCACCGTTTTCACTGTTGTCACCGTTGTCATCGTTGTCACTCTTGTCATCGTTGTCACTGTTGTCGCCATTGTCACCGTTGTCACCGTTGTCACCGTTGTCATCGTTGTCACTGTTGTCACCGTTGTCACTGTTGTCACCGTTGTCACCGTTGTCACTGTTGTCACCGTTGTCATCGTTGTCACCGTTGTCATCGTTTTCACCGTTGTCACCGTTGTCACTGTTGTCACCGTTGTCACTGTTGTCACCGTTCTCATCGTTGTCACTGTTGTCATCGTTGTCACTGTTGTCACCGTTGTCACTGTTGTCACTGTTGTCACTGTTCTCACCGTTGTCATCGTTGTCATCGTTGTCACCGTTGTCACCGTTGTCACTGTTGTCACCGTTGTCATCGTTGTCACTGTTGTCATCGTTGTCACTGTTGTCACCGTTGTCACCGTTGTCACTGTTGTCACCGTTCTCACTGTTGTCACCTTTGTCACCGTTGTCATTTTTGTCACCGTTGTCATCGTTGTCACTGTTGTCACCGTTGTCACCGTTGTCATCGTTGTCACTGTTGTCATCATTGTCACTGCTGTCACCGTTGTCATCGTTGTCACTGTTGTCATCATTGTCACTGTTGTCACCGTTTCCAGTGTTGTCACCGTTGTCATCGTTGTCACTGTTGTCATCATTGTCACTGTTGTCACCGTTGTCACCGTTGTCACGGTTGTCACCGTTGTCACGGTTGTCACCGTTGTCATCGTTGTCACCGTTGTCACCGTTGTCACCGTTGTCACCGTTGTCACGGTTGTCACCGTTGTCACGGTTGTCACCGTTGTCATCGTTGTCACTGTTGTCACCGTTGTCACCGTTGTCACTGTTATCACTGTTGTCACCGTTGTCATCGTTGTCATTGTTGTCATCGTTGTCACTCTGGTCACCGTTGTCACCGTTGTCACTTTTGTCACCGTTGTCACTGTTGTCACCGTTGTCATCGTTGTCACTGTTGTCATCTTTGTCACTGTTGTCACCTTTGTCATCGTTGCCCCTGTTGTCACCGTTGTCATCGTTGTCACTGTTGTCATCGTTGTCACTGTTGTCATCGTTGTCACTGTTGTCATCATTGTCATTGTTGTCACCGTTGTCACTGTTTTTACCGTTGTCATCGTTGTCACCGTTGTCAGCGTTTTCACTGTTGTCACCGTTGTCACTTTTGTCACCGTTGTCATCTTTGTCACTTTTGTCATCGTTGTTACTGTTGTCACTGTTGTCACCGTTGTCACTGTTGTAATCGTTCTCACTGTTGTGACCATTGTCATCGTTGTCACGGTTGTCACTGTTGTCAGCGTTGTCATCGTTGTCACTGTTGTCATCGTTGTCACTGTTGTCACCGTTGTCACTTTTGTCACCGTTGTCATCGTTGTCACTTTTGTCATCGTTGTTACTGTTGTCACTGTTGTCACCGTTGTCACTGTTGTCACCGTTGTCATCGTAGTCACTGTTGTCACCGTTGTCACTGTTGTAATCGTTCTCACTGTTGTGACCATTGTCATCGTTGTCACGGTTGTCACTGTTGTCAGCGTTGTCATCGTTGTCACTGTTGTCATCGTTGTCACTGTTGTCACCGTTGTCACCGTTGTCACTGTTGTCCCCGTTGTCACTGTTGTCACCGTTGTCATCGTTGTCACTGTTGTCACCGTTGTCATCGTTGTCACTGTTGTCATCGTTGTCACTGTTGTCACCGTTGTCACTGTTGTCACTGTTGTCATCGTTGTCACTGTTGTCACCGTTGTCACTGTTGTCACCTTTTTCACCGTTGTCATTTTTGTCACCGTTGTCATCGTTGTCACTGTTGTCATAGTTGTCACTGTTGTCATCCTTCTCACTGTTGTCACCGTTGTCACTGTTGTCACCGTTTCAAGTGTTGTCACCGCTGTCATCGTTCTCACTGTTGTCACCGTTGTCACTGTTGACATCGTTATCACTGTTGTCGCCGTTGTCACTGTTGTCACCGTTGTCATCGTTGTCACTGTTGTCACCGTTGTCATCGTTGTCACTGTTGTCATCGTTGTCACTGTTGTCACCGTTGTCACTGTTGTCACTGTTGTCATCGTTGTCACTGTTGTCACCGTTGTCACTGTTGTCACCTTTGTCACCGTTGTCATTTTTGTCACCGTTGTCATCGTTGTCACTGTTGTCATAGTTGTCACTGTTGTCATCCTTCTCACTGTTGTCACCGTTGTCACTGTTGTCACCGTTTCAAGTGTTGTCACCGCTGTCATCGTTCTCACTGTTGTCACCGTTGTCACTGTTGACATCGTTATCACTGTTGTCGCCGTTGTCACTGTTGTCACTGTTGTCATCATTGTCACTGTTGTCCCCGTTGTCACCGTTGTCACTGTTGTCATCATTGTCACTGTTGTCACCGTTTCCAGTGTTGTCACCGTTCTCATCGTTGTCACTGTTGTCCTCGTTGTCACTGTTGTCACCGTTGTCACCGTTGTCACGGTTGTCACCGTTGTCATCGTTGTCACTGTTGTCATCGTTGTCACTGTTGTCACCGTTGTCACTGTTATCACTGTTGTCACCGTTGTCATCGTTGTCACTGTTGTCATCGTTGTCACTGTTGTCACCGTTGTCACCGTTGTCACTTTTGTCACCGTTGTCACTGTTGTCACCGTTGTCATCGTTGTCACTGTTGTCATCTTTGTCACTGTTGTCACCGTTGTCACCGTTGTCATCGTTGTCACTGTTGTCATCGTTGTCACTGTTGTCATCGTTGTCACTGTTGTCATCATTGTCACTGTTGTCACCGTTGTCACTGTTTTTACCGTTGTCACCGTTGTCATCGTTGTCACCGTTGTCATCGTTTTCACTGTTGTCAGCGTTGTCACTTTTGTCACCGTTGTCATCGTTGTCACTTTTGTCATCGTTGTTACTGTTGTCACTGTTGTCACCGTTGTCACTGTTGTCACCGTTGTCATCGTAGTCACTGTTGTCACCGTTGTCACTGTTGTAATCGTTCTCACTGTTGTCACCGTTGTCACTGTTGTCACCTTTGTCACCGTTGTCATTTTTGTCACCGTTGGTATCGTTGTCACTGTTGTCATAGTTGTCACTGTTGTCATCCTTGTCACTGTTGTCACCGTTGTCACTGTTGTCACCGTTGTCATCGTTGTCACTGTTGTCACCATTGTCAGTGTTGTCACCGTTGTCACTGTTGTCACTGTTGTCACCGTTGTCACTGTTGTCACCGTTGTCACTGTTGTCACCGTTGTCACTGTTGTCACCGTTGTCATCGTTGTCACTGTTGTCATCGTTGTCACCGTTGTCACCGTTGTCACTGTTGTCACCGTTGTCATCGTTGTCACTGTTGTCATCGTTGTCACTGTTGTCACCGTTGTCACCGTTGTCACTTTTGTCACCGTTGTCACTGTTGTCACCGTTGTCATCGTTGTCACTGTTGTCATCGTTGTCACTGTTGTCACCTTTGTCATCGTTGTCACTTTTGTCACCGTTGTCATCGTTGTCACTTTTGTCATCGTTGTTACTGTTGTCACTGTTGTCACCGTTGTCACTGTTGTCACCGTTGTCATCGTAGTCACTGTTGTCACCGTTGTCACTGTTGTAATCGTTCTCACTGTTGGCATCGTTGTCGCCGTTGTGACTTTTGTCACTGTTGTCATCGTTTTCAGTGTTGTAACCGTTGTCGTCGTTGTCACTCTTGTCATCATTGTCAGTGTTGTCACCGTTGTCACTGTTATCATCATTGTCATCGTTGTCACTTTTGTCATCGTTGTCACTGTTGTCACCGTTGTCACTGCTGTCACCGTTGTCACTGTTGTCACCGTTGTCAGCGTTGTCACCGTTGTCAGCGTTGTCACCGTTGTCATCGTTGTCACTGTTGTCATCGTTGTCACTGTTGTCACCGTTGTCACCGTTGTCGTAATTGTTACTGTTGTCACTGTTGTCACCAGATGTCACCATTGTCACTCTTGTCAACATTGTCACCTTTGCCACTGTTGTCACCGTTTTCACTGTTGTCACTGTTGTCACTGTTGTCACCGTTGTCACCGTGTCACTGTTTTCAACGTTGTCACCGTTGTCGCCATTGTCACTGTTGTTACCGTTGTCACCGTTGTTCCGTTGTCACCGTTGTCACGGTTGTCATTGTTATCACTTTTGTCATTCTTTTTACCGTTGTCACTGTTGTCCCCGTGGTCACTGTTTTCACTGTTGTCACCGTTATCACCCTCTTCACTGTTGTCACCGTTGTCACGGTTCTCACTGTTGTCATTGTTGTCACCGTTGTGACCGTTCTTGTTGTTGTTACTGTTGTCGCGGTTGTCACTGTTGTCATCGTTGTCACTGTTGTCACTGTTGTCATCGTTGTCACTGTTGTCACTGTTGTCACCGTTGTCATCGTTGTCACTGTTGTGATCGTTTTCACTGTTGTCACCTTTGTCATCGTTCTCACTGTTGTCACCGTTGTCGTCGTTGCCACTGTTGTCATCGTTGTCACTGTTTTCACCGTTGTCACTGTTGTCACTGTTGTCACTGTTGTCACCGTTGTCATCGTTGTCACTGTTGTGATCGTTTTCACTGTTGTCACCTTTGTCATCGTTCTCACTGTTGTCACCGTTGTCGTCGTTGCCACTGTTGTCATCGTTGTCACTGTTTTCACCGTTGTCACTTTTCTCACCGTTGTCGTCGTTGTCACTGTTGTCATCGTTGTCAGTGTTGTCAGTGTTGTCATCGTTTTCACTGTTGTCACTGTTGTCACCGTTGTCATCGTTGTCACTGTTGTGATCGTTTTCACTGTTGTCACCTTTGTCATCGTTCTCACTGTTGTCACCGTTGTCGTCGTTGCCACTGTTGTCATCGTTGTCACTGTTGTCACCGTTGTCACTGTTGTCACCGTTGTCACCGTTGTCACTGTTGTCATCGTTGTCACTGTTCTCACTGTTGTCATCGTTGTCACTGTTCTCATGGTTGTCACTGTTGTCACTGTTGTCACCGTTGTCATCGTTTTCACTGTTGTGATCGTTTTCACTGTTGTCACTTTTGTCATCGTTGTCATCGTTTTCACTTTTGTCATCGTTGTTACTTTTGTCACTGTTGTCACCATTGTCACTGTTGTCACTGTTGTCACCGTTGTCACCGTTGTAATCGTTGTCACTGTTGTGACCGTTGTCACTGTTGTCACGGATGTCACCATTGTCATTGTATTCATCGTTGTCACTATTGTGACCGTTGTCATTGTTGTCATCGTTGTCACTGTTGTCACCGTTGTCATCGTTGTCACTTTTTTCACCGTTGTCACCGTTGTCATCGTTGTCATTGTTGTCACCGTTGTTACTGTTCTCACTGTTGTCATCGTTGTTACTGTTGTCACCGTTGTCACCGTTGTCACTTTTTTCACCGTTGTCATCGTTGTCATTGTTGTCACCGTTGTTACTGTTCTCACTGTTGTCATCGTTGTCACTGTTGTCACCTTTGTCATCTTTTTGCACTGTTGTCACCGTTGTCGTCGTTGCCACTGTTGTCATCGTTGTCCTCACCGTGTGACAGTTGTCACTGTTGTCACCGGTGTCACCGTTTTCACTGTTTTCACCATTGTCACCGTTGTCACTGTTTTCATTGTTATCACTTTTTTCACTCTTTTTACCGTTGTCACTGTTGTCACTGTTGTCCCCGTGGTCACTGTTTTCACTGTTGTCACGGTTGTCAGTGTTGTCGTTATTGTCACCGTTGTCACCTTGTTACTGTTGTCACTGTTCTCTCCGTTCTTACCGTTGTCGCCGTTGTCACCGTGTCACCGTTTTCACTGTTGTCACTATTTTCACGATTGCCACTGTTGTTACCGTTGTCACCTTTGTCACCGTTGTCGTTGTTGTTACGGTTTTCGCTGTTGTCATTGTTGGCACCCTCGTCACTGTTGTTACTGTTGTCACTTTTGTCGCCGTTGTCGCCGTTGTCACCGTTGTCACCGCAGTCACTGTTGTCGCTGTTCTCACCGTGGTCACTGTTGTCACTGTTGTCACCGTTGTGACTGTTGTCACCGTTCTCATCGTTGTCTCTGTTGTCATCGTTGTCACTGTTGTCACCATTTTCACTGTTGTCGCTGTTGTCACCTTTGTCACCGTTGTCACTTTTGTCACCGTTGTCATCGTTGTCACTGTTGTCATCGTTGTCACTGTTGTCACCGTTTTCACTTTTGTCACCGTTGTCATCGTTGTCACTCTTGTCATCGTTGTCACTGTTGTCACCGTTGTCACTGGTGTCACCGTTGTCATCGTTGTCACTGTTGTTATCGTTGTCACTGTTGTCACCGTTGTCACTGTTCTTACTGTTGTCTACGTTGTCACTGTTGTCACCGTTGTCACTGTTGTCACTGTTGTTACCGTTGTCACTGTTGTCATCGTTGTCACTGTTGTCATCGTTGTCACTGTTGTCACCGTTGTCACTGTTCTTACTGTTGTCACCGTTGTCACTGTTTTTACCGTTGTCGCCGTTGTCACTGTTTTCACCGTTGTCATCGTTGTCACTATTGTCATCGTTGTCACTGTTGTCACCGTTGTCACCGTTGTCACTGTTGTCACCGTTGTCTTCGTTGTCACTGTTGTCACTCTTGTCACCGTTGTCACTGTTGTCAACGTTGTCACCGTTGTCACTGTTGTGACCGTTTTCACCGTGTCACGGTTGTCACTGTTGTCACCGTTGTCACCGTTGTTACCGTTGTCGTTGTTGTTACTGTTGTGACCGTTGTCACTGTTGTCATTGTTATCACTTTTTTCACTCTTTTTACCGTTGTCACTTTTTTCACTGTTGTCCCCGTGGTCACTGTTTTCACTGTTGTCACGGTTGTCAGTGTTGTCATTGTTGTCACCGCTGTCACCGTTGTCACCGTGTTACCGTTGTCACTGTTGTCTCCGTTGTTACCGTTGTCGCCGTTGTCACTGTTGTCACCGTTGTCACCGTTTTCACTGTTGTCACTATTTTCACGATTGCCACTGTTGTTACCGTTGTCACCGTTGTCGTTTTTGTTACTGTTGTCACTGTTGTCATTGTTGTTACCCTTGTCACTGTTGTCACTGTTGTCACTTTTGTCGCCGTTGTCACCGTTGTCACTGTTGTCGCTGTTCTCACCGTGGTCACTGTTGTCACCGTTGTCACTGTTGTCACTGTTGTCCCCGTTGTGACTGTTGTCACCGTTGTCAGCGTTGTCTCTGTTGTCATCGTTGTCACTGATGTCACCATTTTCACTGTTGTCACGGTTGTCACCTTTGTCACCGTTGTCACTTTTGTCACCGTTGTCATCGTTGTCACTCTTGTCACCGTTGTCACTGTTGTCACCGTTGTCATCGATGTCACTGTTGTCACCGTTGTCACTGTTCTTAGTTTTGTCACCGTTGGCACTGTTGTCACCGTTGTCACTGTTGTCACTGTTGTTACCGTTGTCACTGTTGTCACCGTTGTCATCGTTGTCACTGTTGTCGTCGTTGTTACTGTTGTCACCGTTGTCACCGTTGTCACTGTTGTCACCATTGTCATCATTGTCACTGTTGTCACCGTTGTCATTGTTGTCACTGTTGTCATCGTTGTCACTGTTGTCATCGTTGTCACGGTTGTCACCGTTGTCACTGTTGTCACTGTTGTCATCTTTGTCACTGTTGCACCGTTGTCACTGTTGTCACCGTTGTCACTGTGGTCACCGTTGTCATCGTTGTCACTGTTGTCACTGTTGTCACCGTTGTCACTGTTGTCACCGTTGTCACTGTTGTCACCTTTGTCACCGTTTTCACTGTTGTCACCGTTGTTTACTGTTTTCACTGTTGTCACCGTTGTCATCGTTGTCACTGTTGTCACCGTTTTCATCGTTGTCACTGTTGTCATCGTTGTCACTGTTGTCACCGTTGTCATCGTTGTCACTGTTGTCACCGTTGTCACTGTTGTCACCGTTGTCATCGTTGTCACTGTTGTCATCGTTGTTACTGTTGTCACGGTTGTCATCGTTGTCACTGTTGTCATCGTTGTCACTGTTGTGAGCGTTGTCACTGTTGTGACCGTGGTCACCGTTGTCATCGTTGTCACTGTTGTCATCGTTGTCACTGTTGTTACCGTTGTCACTGTTGTCATCGTTGTCACTTTTGTCACTGTTGTCACCGTTGTCACTTTTGTCAGCGTTGTCACTTTTGTCACTGTTGTCACCGTTGTCACTGTTGTCACCGTTGTCGTCGTTGTCACTGTTGTCACTTTTGTCACCGTTGTCACTGTTGTGACCGTTGTCATCGTTGTCATTGTTGTCATCGTTGTCACTGTTGTCATCGTTTTCATCGTTGTCACTGTTGTCATTTCTGTCATCGTTGTCACTGTTGTCACCGTTGTCATCGTTGTCATTGTTGTCATCGTTGTCACTGTTGTCATCGTTTTCATCGTTGTCACTGTTGTCATTTCTGTTATCGTTGTCACTGTTGTCACCGTTGTCACCGTTGTCACTGTTGTTACCGTTGTCATCTTTGTCACTCTTGTTATCGTTGTCACTGTTGTCACCGTTGTCACTGTTGTCACCGTTGTCATCGTTGTCACTGTTGTCATCTCGTTTACTGTTGTCACTGTTGTGATCGTTGTGACTGTTGTCATCGTTGTCACCGTTGTCACTGTTTTCACCGTTGTCACCGTTGTCACTGTTTTTACCGTTGTCATCGTTGTCACTGTTGTCACCGTTGTCACTGTTGTCACCGTTGGCATCGTTGTCATCGTTGTCACTGTTGTCATCGTTGTCACTGTTGTCACTGTTCTCACCGTTGTCACTGTTGTCGCCGTTGTCACTGTTGTCACCGTTGTCACTGTTGCACCGTTGTCACCGTAGGCACTGTTGTCACCGTTGTCACCTTTGTCACTGTTTCACTGTTGTCACCGTTGTCACTGTTGTCACCGTTGTCACTGTTGTCACCATTGTCGCTGTTGTCGCTGTTGTGACTGTGGTCTCTCTTGTCATTATTGTACTGTTTTTATTGTTAGTCCCGTTGTTTTCACCTTTTCCATGCAAAAGGGGCGAAAGTTGGAGTTACAGTTGTAGACCTTAATTAGGGTGTGTTCCTTTCGGTGAATCCAAAAACGGATTTTAGATCTAAGAACGGATTTCGTGTTCCTTTCGGCAAATCCAAATCCGGATTTTTGATCTGGTGAATCCTTTTTGAAAAAGGATTCATTAGATTTGAAATCCGAAGAATCCAAATCCAGATTAACGGATTAGTGATCTACGCTGTTCCATTCACAGTGGATCCGAAATTAGTCAGATGATCCAGCGGTATTTCCAGTTGAAGTATTCCCATAGAGGCCGTAGAGTTTCTTCGTTGCTGTCATTTGTCGCAAAACATCTGAAAACACTAGAATATTGTCCCTGGTACGTTAAAATATCCATATACTAACCATTTGTCTCTAAAAATTGCTTGAAATAAGTACAAGTAACAAATGAACTGCTATCTAACTACAAACTCGCTTGTAGACGCGACAGGCACTCGATCGTGTTACATAAAAATATCCGAGCTATGGAACTGGATCAAACTGGCCGACATTCTTTAGATAATTTTCAATTTTAATGCGCTTCTTTCTTTGTCTGTTTTATATGTTCCATCGTCGCTATTCGAACTGCCGACCACTATATTCTGCACGGTATAATCGCATAATTTGTCAAACAGTAGAAAACACGTCATTTCTTGAGAGGCTGTCGTGCATATTGCACGCGTTGGCGAAAGGTTACCAAGGTTACAAATCCAATTTCGGATTTCACGTTCCTTTCGACCGCGAAATCTGGCAAATCTAGGATCCAAAATCCGTTTTTGGATTCGCCAAAAGGAACACACCCTTAGTTTTGTTGTCTCTTTCATTGCTTTTTGTCTGTTTTTCAAAAAAATGAGACCGTTATTTTGACTACCAGTATCATTATCATTATTATGTTATTTATTTTACCTTTATCCAGACCTTCCGTTCACTGAGGTTGTTCTCTTTTGCCCACTGTCCGAAGTGTCACCCTGGCTACCCTGTGGATGAACTTGATACTGGTCGACGTGCTCAGGCAGCTAAAAACACAGAAGCATCAAATGATGACAGTACCAATCCACTTTAGGAGACCGTTAACTTTTGACCCTCAAACCCTCGGCTTGCAAGGGCAATTTTATAAATTCAATAAAAAATTTTCAAATATTTTTTTTATAATGCGGGGTAAGAAACAATTTGAATTTTAGCTTTTACAGCTGCAGGAATTTGACCTTGTACAGGACAAGAGAGAAATTTGCACAAGCTGCACAAGTTAACGCTTAATTTCTGTACAATGTATATTTATATAGTATTCACCAAATCGGTGGATAGCAATTTTCGCGCGTTCTGATTGGTTCCCGTAACTCGGAATATCTTTGGATATTCACTGTTTTGGGACGGGATTTAAAATGGCTTCTTGTTTCAAGACAGTTTCGAAAGATGAAATTTTAGAGTTAGATGAAGCAGCTGCGCCAACAAATACCAAGAGTGGGACAAAATTTGGCTTGGGAACTACTATTTATAAATGTTGTATATTTCCATTTGTTATTGCCATTTGCAGGGTATAATTATTATTTTTAAAATAGTATATTCAATAACAAAATAGGAGTTATAGGAGTAGAAAGTTTTTTTGACAATACAGGCAGCAGACTCTATGTAAGACACCGGCGCTGATTTCAAATTTTAGACAATGTATAATGAGGTCCTCTTAGTCTGAATTTCAAAACCAGTCATTTCACATATTGATGGTATTTGACCATTGAATTTTGTTTCTTTCTATTCACTGTGTCCTTGTTTCAGCTCATTTGCAGCCATTTCATCCGTCTTATGCAGGGTTCGTACAGGTCGTGGAAAACCTGGAAAGTCATAGAATTTGAGAATTTCATTTTCCAGGCCTGGAAAGTCATGGAATTTAATTGTAGGTCCTTGAAAGTCATGGAAAATTAAAGTTTTGTTTGATTGTTTAGTTACTGCAGATGATAAAGCAAGGACAATGTAAGATAGGGAGGAGTGATTAAACGGCGCAAATGGCACGCATTTTGGTGGACACTAGAGTTTGTGTTTGTTAAACTGCTTAAGGTCAAAAAATACCCCCAAACTAGGAAAATTGTGAAAGTTTATGAAAGTGACAACTAAACCTGATTTGATGGAAAACTTGAAAAGGTCATGGAAAGTCATGGAACTTTAAGAGCTCAAAAGGTTACGAACCCTGCTTATGTCATTGTTTCAAAGCCACATGGCTTGTTGGAAATTTCAGCTTAATAGGGCCTCAAGAATATTTTCATGTGAAATTACACAAAATTAATTCTGTAACGAATTAGGATTTATACGTGATAACACTGACGATTTTGTCTGGCAATCTTAGTCTGTAGAGCCTTAACTGTTCATTTTTTTTTTTTGAAAAAAATGCCAACAACAAGGTAAGGTAGGTTAGACATTTTAGACCACATAAAATATTTCTGCATTCCTATACATTGTCTCAAAGGTAAATCAATCCCAACATATCAATATAGAGCTTGGGATGCCTGTGCATGTATAATAATGAAACACAGGATCTATTTATCATAATTTTGGACTAAGGGGTCCAAAGCAAAATATTTCATGAAATTTGTGAAAATGTCAAATGACAAAATAAAAGGCTTTGAGCCTTTCTTTGGTCCTGTTCGCACTACAACAAGAAATAGTCTAGAGTTTTGAGTTTGCAAAAAATGTTATAAAATAATCTTGTAATTACCAATTTTTCGTTTTTATAATCTTTTTTGCACCTGACCGCAAAATTTATCGCGTAACCGGAAGTGACATTAATTTAAAACAAAACTTATATAAGTTGGCCACATTCGTGAAATTTAAGATGACCCGTGGACGAATAGCTGTCAAGGGAACAAACTATTTTGTCAAGTGACAAAAAATTGTACTGTAGGCCTCTGTTCGAATACGCTTGACGGCATGCTTGAAGTTTGGTAACACTTGAGAAAATTTTGGTGGCTGAAAATAATCGTTCGCACTAGAAATGGCTTCCTGTTGACAGAATTTTGTGCGAATCAAACAAAATTTTGCGTAGTGTGAACAAGGCCTTTTATAACATAAATAGCATAAATTCTTCTCTCCTTAAGATTTGTGTTAGTAAAAAGGAGACGTATGAAAGCAGTTCACATCAACTTTGTTTTTTATCATGATTTGCAGACTTAATAAATTGTACGATTAAGCATTTTAGTGATATTACAATGAAAAATTAGATGATAATCAGTGTTGCACTTCATCAAAAAAAAACGAAAACTGAATCCACAGTCGAAAGTAGGCCACGAGATTCCCTGCAGATTCAAGCAGCTGCTCTAGAATTTAAATAAAACACTTTTCTCATACATCTTGGTTTGCAATGACTGAGCACTTTGAGCAACTATTCTCTGAATCTTTAGATGTGTGAAGCCTTTAAGAATTATTTAAAAAATAATAAAATAAAATAAACGTACACCACAGGCGGAGCATCCTGACTGTTCGAGGCAAAAAAATCTCATACATTTAGTGCTACTGTATTTCGATGAAAACAGCCGCTCTCGGCTTAATTCAAGTGATTGGCACTATTACTTTACAAAAAGCAGATTTCTGCACCTTTCGATACCAAATCACGATATAAGCTAAAGTAAAAGAGATAAAAAAATTTACTTACCGTTTGCATTCGAGTGGTCTTTCGCGTTTGGTGGTGTTCAACTCTTTGTATAAAACTATGGTAAGCATTTCCCGTGTTTATGCATCAGTGCCCCCCGGGCTGACCCCCGGGATTTGCATTTTTTTTTTTGCCTTGGATGGCAAATTCCCGGGAATGAGGACTCTTGAGCTGTCAGATCCCCTGGGGTGGGGACGAAAAAACACGGCAAATGCCTCGTCCTCCGTCAACACTGCTCCTTAGCGGGAGTTACAAAAGGTTACAGGGTGTTAGCAGGAGTCATAAGGGATTACAGGGCGTTACAGGAAATTACAAGGGGATACAGGGGGTTACAAGGGGTTTACAGGGGG